ATTATTATAACCCTTCTCTTTTAAAATATTATTTTTATAAATTAAATTTTAACATTTTAAATAAATTATTAATTAACTTAATATATTTATTCATTTTAAATCTAAGATATAAAATTCAAAAATGGATTTATCCTTGTTTTATTTTCTAATTATCAACCATTAATAAAATACTAATTTAAAATCTTATCAAGTTATATTATAATATTTTCATATTAAAATTAGATATTAGTTTTATAAAAATATCAAAATCATATAGTAAACTATTAATAAGATTCTAGTAATTAAATAATTTAAAATAATTAATTTTTCAACTATATTGTTTGCAAATAATTTATTCCAAAGCTAATCAATATTTTTTATATTAACTATTAGTAAAATTTAATAACTTTTAATTTAATAATTAGATCGATGAAATTCTTACATTTTCAAAAAATATAAATTTATTAGAAATATTTCATCAGTAATATAACTCACTTGTTATTGGTGTGTATATTTATATATATAATTTATTTTATAATTTTTATTTATTAAACTAATTGAACATTAATTAATTGAGAGGATGACAATGAATTAATAAAATTAAAAAATATATTTTAGTTAAAAGTATCTTTTTTGGTGAATGCTTAATTTAAAAGTATTTTTATGAATAATTAAATGAAAAATACATTTTAAAATTTTATGATGGTTATTGTTAAGTTAACACAATAATTATTTTTAAAAAAAAATCTAATTTTTTGATCGATTTTAGATTTGTTTGATAAGTTCTTATTAGTCCTTATATAAACTTATTATTTTTAAGTTAATGGAACTAACACGTTTATATCAACTGAACTAGATGTTTAAGTCTAATTTTTAAAATAATAATTGAAATAAAATAAGATTTACGAATTAAAAGAAGTTTTTTTTACCTTAACAAAATTGGAAAGTACAATAAATTGTGTATTTTCATATTATCTAATAAAAAAAATATTAAGTATGATAAAAGAAAAATAAATTTCTCAAGAGAAAAATACATAAATTTGATAGATAAATTATTATTCAAATTAGTCCAAAATTTTTAAAAGATTCAATTAAAAAAATTATTATTTAAATTTCTTTCATAGCATTATGTTTCTCATTTTTTAATATATTATGATATATTATCTATTTTAAATTATATAATATGTATTATTTTAAAAAATAAAATAATTTTATTGGAAGGGTCAAGATTTTTATTTCTTATCATTAATTATTTTATCATTATAAAAATAATATTATATATTTTTATGTTTGCTTTCTTTTTTAAAAAAATACATTCTTAATTTTTTTTAAAAATTTACATTTAGCGACCGATTTTTATTTGGTCGCTACCATTATTATAAATAATATTTTTGTATTGTTTTTAGTGACCGAAATTTTTTCATCGCTAATTTAGCCACCGAAACCAATTCAGTCGCAAATTTACATACAATTCGGTCGCTAAAGGGTATGTAATTTACAAACTGAATAGTGACGAAATTAGTGACTGAAAATTGCTACCGAAAATATTCGGTTGCTAATTTGGTCGCAAATTTACATACAATCGGTCACTAAAGGATATGTAATTTACAAACTAAATAGCGACAAAATTAGCGACCGAAGATTGGTATTGAAAATATTCAGTCGCTAATTCGATCACTAAATAAAAGTTGTAACTAATTATAGCGACGAAAAAAAATTCAATCGCTAAATTGACATTTTTTGTAGTGTATAATAAGGTTTATTTCACATATCTCAATATTAATCTATTTCGTCATTCACAAATAATAGGTATGTTATACTCATGCACAAGACTCTTCTAAAGTTACAAGCATGTGGCACCAGTAAAATACTTTATCCATACCTGAAGGTTGAGCTAAGAGTTCATTTTGGCTCAAACATCACAAGATTCTTCATTAAGAGAAAATACACCATTGACATGTTAGGATAGCTATGTTGGTCAAGTTTCACCCCATGCACACAAAGTGGCAGGAGCTCCCAAACCTAGTTATCCTCAAGGTCATGGAATTTCCAAGCTTTTACACAATGGATCTTTCCTTGATAGCGTATTTCACATCGTACCCATCATAAAAACACGTTATACAAATGATGCATCTCATACAAACTCTATGTATGATCACAAGATTCATATACACATGATTACACATAAGTCACATCACTATTAAGATATACTTAGACTTTTTTACACAATCACTTTCTCTTTTTACATAACACATGTCTCAAAAATTCATAAACTCACATTAACAACTCTCCATACATTCTCAAACTCTAACATTATACACATGTTCCAAATCTAATCATTAATCCATAAGACTTACTAACCAATCTACTCACATGCATAAACAAATATTCACTTAATTCAATTTTGAAAATAGGGTCATGCTCGACATGGTTTACCTACACTTGGTGCGAACGAGGTTGATGATTGAATGGATCCTTTGTTTGCATTGCACTCTAACTTTCATCAATGACATAGACACAACTCCCCTCCCCCCACCAAATCCATCACAAAGCTTTCACTCTCTCCAACTCCTCTAACCACTACTAGAAAAATTAAAATTAGAGAGGGAAAAAATTAAACGTGACATTTACCAATTTACTAATAATTCTCAATTGTTCGCGAGAACTAACTTGTAAGAAAGTATCAAAAAGTTATTGTAAATCAATTAAACTGTAAAAATAAGAATCCTAGAATTATGACTTCATTGACCTTAATTCAACCAAATTCAATTTGCCTGAATTCTAAAAAAATCTTGATTGTTAATTTTGCCTCTCATCACTACAACAAAATTGATTATTACTGAAAATTATTTAGTGACAATAAATTAACTGTCTTTATTTTATTATTTAATAAAAATATTAATGACTAATATATAATAGCCACTAAAAATGTATTTATATCATACCAAAATTTACTATTAGCAACAATTATTTATTTAGAAAAACTTAAGTCCCACATCGACCAGAAATAAGATACTTAGAGAGTATATAAATGGATGATAACTCTCACCTTACAAGTTTGTTTTATAGGATTAAGTTAGACCTATAACTAACTATTCTAAATTAGTATCAGATTACTCACCATTATCAAACTCAATAGTCCCTAAACTTGAGGGGTGTATTGGAAAAAATCCAAATCCCACATCGACTATTAATAAAATAATTAATTAGAAAATAAGATAATTAAAAAAATATATAAGTAAAAGACAATTTTCATCTTACAATTCCCATATCGAGTAGAAAGTAAAAAATGTCACAAAAAGTTATACACTTTTTCCGATCATTATAAGAATTTTTACCAGCATTCAGAATAATTGCCGCTAAATATTTTAGCGACACTGTATACAATGGCTATTGTGAAAATTTCACTAAAATTTTTTATAGCAATTGTTATTATCACTAAAAATCATATTAAATGCCACTAAAAATCTATTTTATTGTAGTGCATGTTGCTAATCACTTTTGGTCATGAAAATTAACCGTCTTTGCCATATACAAATCTTAAATTGGACACATAGAAAATTATACAAAGTAAAGCCCTTAAGGTAGAAAGGGAACCAATATCAGAAAACTTCGTTAGGGAAAAGAACTTCATTAAAATCTCTAATCATGAACCACTGTCCGAAAGTATACAGTACTACATTTAATATCTTTAACAACATTTTCCTACTTACATTTTTTAAAATATTACTTTAGATTAGTGACATTTTTTTTAGAAAGTACTAATATAGATAAAGTAACATTTTTTTTATCTCAATATTATTCTTTATAATTGTCTTTTAAAATTAGATCTCACATTGAGTAAAAGAATGACATATAAAATGTATAATTCTCTAATATCTAGTTGTTTCCAAAATTCAAATCTCACATCGAGTAAAAAAATAACATAAAGAGTATATATAACCATAAAGTGAAACTTAAGATAAATGTGTTTTGATCTAAATTTGATGATGACTAACTTGGGATATCTTCTCTTGTTAAAAAAAAAACTTAAGATATCTTAAATCTTGGACTTGTAGACAAGAGTCATAAAGTATAAGTGATGATACAACTAAGGATGGCAACGAAACGAGGTAGAGGACGGGTGTGAAATTTGTGTTTCATCTCTGTCCCCCTTAGGTCGCTTAGAAATTAATTAAATATTTTGTTTTACAAAAAATATATGAAAAGAATTTCAACATAAAATAACAATTATAAAATTATATTAATTAAATTTCATCTAACATAAATTTAAAATAGAGTAAAAATTACATAATTTTAAGTATATTCTAAAGAAAATAAATTAAATTTCTAGAAATTTAAAGCAGGACAAATATGGAGCGGGTAAGTATATATTCATTCTTGTCCCCGTACCTGATTTAATAAATTGGATATTACTCTCATACCATACATGTACTTGATCAAACTAGATATTCTCCGTCAAAGTTAATTTGAACAAGTTCGAACATTACTTATGAGTATGGATTTATTCGTCATCCCTAGATGCAATTTAATTATCATTTTATAAACTACGAAAACTTAGCAGCATTATTAAAATATTACAAAATACCACTTTAATAACATTTTTAAAAATATCATTGATATGTAAAATGATATGTTAAAAGCCTTTAGCTACATATAGGATTTATCTCACATTTGATAAAATGTCACAAAAATATATTAATAACATTTACTCATTATTTGGAAACATTTTTCTAATGTTAAATGTTGCTGGGAAGCTAGGGGGTTTGCATGTGGTGTTTTTGATGGTTGTTGAGTTGCATGTTGTGTTGTGTGCAGAAAATTAGTGATTTCTTGAGCTGAATCTTCTTGAATTGGTGTTTGTATATGGATTTGGTGTATTTTCATGTCAGGTTTTAAATCTTCTTTTCCAACCACTAACCTCAATATACGATGCAGCAACCTCAGAGTGTTTCTCATTAGTCCTTGCAATAAATATATCCCAGAAAACCGACCACCACTCGAACAGAAAACCTCCAGGGGCATTAATTGCTGCAACCCCACATGGCCATTCCACAAACATGCACACGCAAGCAACCAAATCAATAAAACAAAAACAATATAAAAATACAAAGGTTAACTCCAACTTCATTCTTTGACAAAAGAGTATTGTTTGCCTATTTAATACAATTCACGTTTGAAAATGGCTCAGTTCTAGCTTTTGGTGCAGCTTTAGTTGCTACTGCTGGTGCTCCAAACACATTCCGAAACCTCAATGTTTCATCCGCTGCTGCTGATGACACTATGCAACCATCTGGACTCTGAAGTAACATGACATTACACCAATCACGAAAATACTCAAACAATAAGAATCTAATCAGGTTTGTCACCCTTTAGAACAAAAATCTTGAAACAAAAGAAACGAAAAAAGTCAATGTTCATTTAGTTCAAGCTACTCCTTATAACACTCAAAAATCAAGAAGGTATAGAGAATACATTCTAAAATAAATAACATAGCTAACATAGAAAGGGGAAAGAAGGCTACCTCTCCACTAGCTTCATCATCTTTATCATTCACTTCAGATTTGGACTTGTCCGATTCATCATCATCACCAGAGCTTGCCTGGCAACATTATAGAAAATAAAGTATATAAACAAGACGATCAAAACACCACACAGGAACACACAACAGAACAACCGAAACATGTTACTCACCTATTTCTTATCATAAGCTTTCATAAGTTTTTCACCTATATGTAAATAAAAAAAAATGGAAGAAGCAAACCTTCATTAAATTCTCAATGATAAGTCTGCTGTTCACCGCAACAAGCACTACTATATATACAGAGATTGAACAGTCCTGCTTCTGGGCAGGAAAAAAAAACGTGAAATTAAACAACACACAAAAGCAATTAAGTCAAAAACAACACAAAAGCAATTGCTTATTAAATTTGTTTAACACATTATCAAACGCATTGTAAAATGGCTTTTGAATAAGGAATAGTTTGATTAAAAAAAGAGAAATAAATTAAATAGATGGATTAAATAAATGATTTCATTATATTAATTTCATTGATCAAATTGATTGACGTTATTAAATGTAGAGATAAAATTTATTTTCTTTAATAATAATTTCATTGAGCCAAACTCAAAGCAAAATTCATCACCCATCAGGTTTGTGCTTAAGTCTACCCCACAGAACCCCACTACATTTTAACTCCAGTACATGAGACGTAGTTTTACATACTGCATCCATCCCAGATGGGAACAAGATACTAGTATCAATTTCAATTTATTGAGATCCATTCCATAACACTTGACAGGGTTGATAAAGCATAAATAAACTGAAGAAGATATTGTATTCGGAAAACTGGTATCAAAAACTTACCATGTAGCTCCCCCAAGGTAATTCTTATGTTGGCTATAATTTGAAAATTAACAAAGAGAAAAATACAACTTACAGTATCAGAAAAATAGTCATGATGAGGTTTGTAATATTGATTCTTTTTATACCTGTGCTGCTGCAGATGTTAGCCTTGATACTAGCAAAATCCATCATGTATTATTCAGATATAGTGTAAAAGAATATGTCATATTCTCACCTCAGGACTTGCATAAGCTCTCCATTTTCAATTGGTATTTGAGAATACACCGAAATTCTTTTTTCAATTGCCTATTAGAGCAAGGTGAACATATTTATCATATTGTACAATTAATGCTATTCAATAAAATATTGTATAAATTGAAAATAAAATAAAGTACAATATTAATAAAAAGAAAGAGAAAATAAAAAGAATGAAGCCTTAACAATTAAAAATAATCAAAACCTCTCTTCTTGAAGTACTTCAGCAATTTGATCCTCCATTTGCTCAATTATATTAGACCACATGAGTAATGATTGCTCAGCAACAATGCAGCTTTTCAGCTTTGAACCAGCCCTCTTTGCCTAATTAATTAAAAAGCATGTACAGGAAAGATTAAGTAATGAATGGCTCATTTAAAACATCAACTTTCTTTTTCCTTTTTCAGTTTACATCTCCACCTTAACATAGAATTAATAAACTTTTCAACTATGTAAACAAAAAGATATTTGGGTTTCCTTCAGGCATACTTTTGTGAAGTGATTAATAATGAATGGGATTACTCTCGGTAGAGAATGCTTTATGAATGTTTATTTTGAAAGTAGAAACTTTTTCACGAAATGTCAAACTTGAATAACTAATTGGGAAAAATATTTTAACATTTTTTTATTGAAACTTGAATAACTTGAATATTATATCACAGTTTTACAATCCTTATCCTGTGTTTCAGGACAAGGGGAAAAAAAGGGGGGGTGTTTGCCATAATAATACAATATTCAAAGTAAAGAATAAATAATTAAATAAACATCAAGGATTGACTTACACGGGTAGCCACATCTGTTGCAACCAAAAAATCCACTTGCTGCTTCCTGAACTGTTCCAAAGCCTAAATAGATAATCAGAAGTGAGTAGATCTTTCCATAACCAAAATCAGTGGAGCAAATCCTTTCAACAGGAAAATAAAAAACAACCAAAACCAATCACTAAGCTAAGGGATATAATTTGCAAGAAAAATTAATCAGAGACAAAATTCCTCAAAAATTCGAAAGTTTGGTACACAAATTAATTACAATCATGCCTAGGATAAAAATACAAAAATTCAATTCAAGAGCACAACTTTTCAATCTACACCAAAACCAAACCGAAATCATCAAATTTCACCCCTCAAGCATCCCTAGCTGTTCTTTGCTGTTGCATCACAAACACATAAGCTACAGAAGATTGGGTTTAAAACGGCGTCGTTTGGGGGCGGGGCTTGGGGCTGCAGGGCCCACACGCGTTTTTTGGCTGGGAGGGAGTGGTTATAGAAGGTTCTAGTGGGAGAGGGTGGAGATTGGGTTCGTGACTCCTTGCGTTTTTTGGTGGGTAAAGGTGAAGACTCGAAATCGTGTTCTTGTTGTTGCATGAGTCTGAGTCTCTTGAGAGGAGGAAGGTCGTTGAGGGACGTGGTGGATCCCATTTCGGGGTTTGGATTGGGAGCGGAAGAATCTCTGAGGGGAAGTGAAGTTTGAGGTTTGGTTTGGGTTTTGAATTGGGGTTGGAGCGGGTTAAGTTAAGTTGAACCAAAAGGAGAAAGAGAGGGAACGTGGGTGGGAGAAAATTTGGAAGCAAAATTTTGAGAGGTGAAAATGAGGCGGGAGTGAAACGGCGGTCGTTTTGGGTTTCATTCATGAATTGCAGAATGCGCGCGCTTCTTTTGATCGTTTGGATTTTGACATTGGAATTTCGATGGATATGATTTACTACTACTACTACTGGATGATTAATTATATTTTGTCACTTTTTAATCAAGTGAGTAAATGATAATGAATTAACTAAAATTCTAAAATATATTTTAATTTAAAAACCCTCCTTGGGAAGTTGACCATTGGAGTGTATGATGTGTTGTTCTCCTCTAGGACTTAGTTGGTCCCGTGTGTGGGCAAGGTTGAGGCACACGTGTATAAAGCGACCACGGTATAGGGGTCAGATCGAGCTATACCGATTACTAGCGGCCATTCGAGTAAAGTACGAAGTCGAGAACTTAGTTCCTAACCGAGTATCAGAGGGTTGTAGTATTTGGAAGATAGTCGATAAGCTAATCCCATAGGTGGCTTAGTTGAGCTAGCTAATGTCATGGTAGGCCTAAATCCAATTGTTCTATCCTGACAGAATACTATACTTCCTTGTTTAAGTGACAAAGCCTGAGAAACCGTTATCGTTTTGTGAATTGATATCCAAATTTGTTGTTTACCTAGCAAGCCCAAAAAGGTTTTGTGTTGTCGGTTCGGTAGGACCTAGCTACTTAGACTGCTCACCCATGTTGTAGGAGATCTCCGAGTTGTAAATGTGTGATGACGCATAAGTTTTTGATGAGTTGAATTGATGTTGATATGAGTTGTATATATGTTGTTGTGTTGTGAAACTGTGATTGAGTTGTGTGTTGCCATGTGTTGTATGTTGACCCTGTTGAGAATGATGATAGTGTTGTTATGTTGAAAGTTGCTTATTTAAAATATATGTTGATTCTTTTCACTAGTTTATCCTTGCATGTTTCCATGTGATTTAGACTGTGATGATCATGTTATGTATAGGAGCAGAGCATGGATAGGCCCGGTCGTTACATGTGGGACCCCTCCTTCCTTGATTAGGTGTTGCAAAGTGATTTTTAATAAATAATTTTATTATTATTATTATTTTTAATGTTTGATATTTTATTTCAAAATATTAAATTTTAATTAAAATTATGACTAAATACAAATTGAAATATACAAGCTAAAAAATATATATTTGTAAACCTATTTATAATCAAGAAAACAAGTGATACATAGAATGTGTAAATTAATTTTATATTATAATCTAATCATAAGTCAATATTTATGGTAAGTTATTGACTTTTATAATAAATAGGCTAAATTGCACTTTAGTCCCTAATAATATTAAATATTCAATGTTGGTTCTCTAATATTTAATTTCACAATATTAGTTCCTCAAGTTTATAAAACACATGATTTTAATCTTCTCACTACATGTCCATTCATTAATCATTGAAATTATAACGTTCATCGTGACATAACATTAAATAAATGAGTAAATAATTAAATTTTAGTTATCGTTTTTATCACTTTTATGAAATAAAAATGAGAAATTAAAAGTGAAATTTAGCTCAATTATTATTAAACATTAGTTATTATATTGTTTATTTAATCTTAAATCATAATTAATGTTACAATTTTAACAATTGACGGATAAATTAATATTCATCAAGGTAACCAATTTTATGAATTTTATAAAATTTAGGATTAAAATAGCATAATAAAATTAAGAAAACTAAAATTGTGAATTTGATATAATATAATGATCAAAAATACAATTTAATCTAATAAATAAAAAGTCATCTGAATGATGATATAATTGGTGTTCAGTAGTAAAAAATTATTTTATTTCGTTAATTTACAACTATTAAACTTTGTAAAATACTCTACTTAAAAGCAAAATTTCTAAAATTGATATCGCACAAGATAACTATTTTAAGTTATATAAGAAAAGTGATATTTTTTTAAATAATAATTAGAAGGTTTAATGTAATATTTAAGAAGTGTTAATTTAATAATTCTCAAACAATTTAAGAGGTAATATATGGATAAAAACAAGAAATATATAATTTCACAAATTACATAATTTACTATCTTAATTCATTTTTAAGGACTGTTATAAAGAGATAAAAAAGATATTATATTATTAATCTCACTTCAATAATATTTTGTTAAATTAATCAATTTTAAAGTAAATATGCGATAATATAAATTTTATTTTATATATATATATATATATATTAATTTGTAGTTACTAGCCCAATATTACTTTAGAGGATATTTTCACATGTACATTATTTTATACATGTATCAACCTTCACTTTGTACATTTATACCCTAATTCTTATACATGTGCATGGGAGTTCATATTACACTGTTCTCGGAAACAAGTGATACTCAGATTAAAAGTGTGACACCTTCTATCCCAACACACATATGCAATAATTATAAAAATAAAATTCTTCATCATTAAAAACCAAATCTCCAACCACATAAGGTAAAGAGTTCACATTCATAAACTTAATCCAAATAACATGTCAGGGAAATTACAAGAAATAAAACTGAGTTTTCAAATAGTTAATAAGCCTAGCTATGTCCTGATGTCACATATCCTATCAGAGCATGCCCAACTGAAGCCTAAGTCTCATCACCAACATCCTTACGCTGATGATCACCTGCAACGCAATTTAAACACATACAAATAACAACAAGGGAGTGAGAAACATCTCACTAAGATTCAGGTGCAGAAATAAAGGTTAGATAGCACACACACACATACAACAAACATATTACAAGTTACAAGCACCAATCACACATAAACAATACACATACATAATTAGTATCACATTTACACTCAATTATCATGCAATGATGTCATGGACTCGACTCATAAATGCATGTGGCGCCAGTCACATGTCTCATAATCACATTTCTCATCATTTCATTACTAGTGACCCAAGGTACACCTTGTTAGCTTGTTACATCACCGGTGACCCTAAGGTACACCTTGTTAGCTTGTTACATCACCGGTGACCCTAAGGTACACCTTGTTAGCTTGTTA